ATTATTGTAAAATTTTCGGATAATACGTCATCGGAGGTGCATTTACAATATATTTACGAACAGGAGCTTGAGAGTCCTTGGAATGATAGCATACATTTGCAATGTTTAATGCTAGCCATATTGGTCTAAGCATGGAAACTATGATGTTTTGGAGGAAGATATAGCTTTGTTCAAACATTGGTGTTGCTGTTTTGTTTTTCCACCAGAGCAACCAGACTTTAGGCAAGTAACATATGTGTACAAAGAATAAGTTTGTACTTTATTGAAGGCCCAAGTTGTTAAGATAAAATAGAGCATAAGTGTACGTAAATGAAAAGATTATCGTGAAGAAGATAAGTGGTATTTCAGTGAGAAGGGATATAAGTATAAAACTTGGGCACTGTGGTAGAGTATAATTCCATAATTGATAAGATTTTATTTTGATAAATCACACAGTGTAGTACAGTTATATTAACTGATGACGTTTCGAGCACAAACTATTGCTCATAATCATATGAAGTTGTTGATATGGTTATGAGCAATAGTTTGTGCTCGAAACGTCATCAGTTAATATAGCAGTGAGAAGGGAATTAAAAGATCCGAAAGGTTAGAATATGTAGGACAAGCTGGCCTGTAAGGTGTCTGACGAATATCCGTAGGGCCCATTGGTTAACATCTTGACAAGAAGCTATGCAGGCTTGTAGATGGTAGGAAGAAAAGCATTTTTTAATAATTAAGATTTGTGCAGTTATTATTTTTTATATTGACGATCTGGACTCTTGTCCGATTCTCGAGGTGTCAAAAATCCATGTTGCTGTCCTACAGATCGGGGCGATTCACAATTGTGATCACTACCGTATCTGCTGATCAGCATGCGCATGAGACACAAGATACTGTGTCCCTGCAGCTCTCTTTTCATTGGCTCCTGCGCTGCATTTAAGCGACGTCGTACGACGTGTTTCAGCAACTCGTATTCTCTCTCCCACAAACTGAACCAGATCCACGAACTTTAGCCCTCTGCTGGCCGCCACAGTTCTGCTAGCTAAGTCACTTCATTTTGGGTGCATTTTAATAGGCAGAGGGCGGATTACTCACTCTAAACTTATAAGAGAGTTCAAATCAGAAATATATCCAATGCTGCGGAACATAAAATGAGTGTTACAAAACCCTGTCGCAAACTCCGTGAAATAATCTCCAGTCTTGCTAGTGAGTTCAGAATCCATCATAAGATCCCTGACAAGTTAACGAGATATCGTATATTCCTGTCCAAATGAATCGTACAGTATTTGCGTGGCCCTCTCATAGCCGAGGCCCAAATGAAGTGCCACACAGAGTTCAATAATCTTTCTCACCCTTCCTCGACAAAGAGGCGAAGGATAAGCCACCATCTGTCTTACTTCACTTAGTTTAGTCTCAACCACACTTCGAAACTGACTGACAAACATTTTGTGCTGACTAGGGTTACGGTCAAAGTACATTATACAACCCCAGATATGCACATATTAATAATGGAGCCCAACGACCCCTCTAACTCTGAGACAAATACCTTCCCCTTTCTGCTTGTCAAACTACTGCCTTTCGTCTCAGACCTACTGGAAAGCTCAAAAATAAGTTGCTTAAACTCCAACTCTAGTTCTAGATTTCTGGCCAGTTCATCCTGATATGGTTATAATAAGCAGAGCAGCAGGTGTAAAGATAATGGGAGCAGAACATGAGCTGTTCAAAGAATGTTCATTCCGCTAGAATCAGTTTCAAAATGTGCTGGATTCCAGTTATACAGTATCACAGTCTTTCTTGTCTCCACTAATGTTTAGATCTTGCGGTTGTATCTCTTGACCTATATAATTGTCTCCCAAGTATATGCCTGCAAGTAAAGAAAATAAAACAGTGATTAGTGTTTCGTATGGAGGTTTTATTTTCACCACACTGCGAATTAGACAAAAGATCCTTATCATTACAACAGCTGTTATATAATTCATGCAAACGAAAGCAGGTATTTTTAACACTCAATTCATCAATTGTGCGTCTGCGGTATAGTGGAACAGTGCTTGCCAACCACGCAGGTGGTTCGTGGTTCGAACCGCAGCCGACGCACTTATTTATCTTGTTAAGCCAGTAATAAGACTGGTAAAGATAGAAGGCTGGGCATGGGGCTACAGAAACTTCACTCCCCTAGCTTTAATCCTTATGGTCCACTGGGAACGTGAAGGGATAAAAAACTTCATCAAAAGCTTCGTCGGTCAAATACCTAAGGAGAACTAAACCAACTGGCGGTTCCTTCTTTTATCTTTCAATGGACAAGAAGAGAGTTACAGTTTCAGAGTCCATAAGTCTACAAGGTATTGCTAGTCAGAGTAAAGGTATAAAACCTTTAAGGATTTAAGAGGAAGAACCCAAATCATCTACTGCTGTTATTAAATAGTTTGAATATGATGAAGTCAGTCATTCAAACGGCGTAAAGTGGATATTTGTGACAATGGTCAAGTTAGTGCACATTTGTCTTTGGCTGATCATGACGAGATGAGCGGAATGCCTACTACTACTGAGTTGAACAAATGTTCTGTACAACTTGAACGTGATGTAAAATTAAAGGCAGATGCGGTTGTAAAAGGTATGGATACTCGTGAGACCGTCAGTGTAAATGATCAGCGTGTAGCCCACCTATCGAAAGATTTTAATGCTAAACTGGAGCTAATCATAAAAAACAGTAGTGGTGGTAGTCCTGCGGTTACACAACCTCAGAAATGTGGAACAACAACAGCTTCTGATGCATCGCTAAGTTCATCAACTTGTATCACTCAGTCGTCGTTGGTGTTGTCATCCACAATGAAGCGGACGTCCATGAACTCATGTGTCTTATGCTGTGACTATGCTAATATCGGTCCGCTTGAAAGGACGAAGGTCAATGGCCAGTTTAGTGAGGATAAGCCAACTGTGTACGAGAGGGTGATTATTAAACTGACTTGCACGAATAAAGGCCTTTCAGGTTTCAAGTTACTATTTGAATGTTATTATCTCTGGTGTTAATTACTCTGTGCCTTCGCTTGGTTGGTCAGATACGTCGTATGTTTGTTAGTCATCTACATTCCACGATACAATATCATGGGCGTGTTACCATTCAGAGTCGAGGATATAGATGATGGAAGGAGGTCAGCAAATGAGCTCAATGACGATTTTCCAACTTAAGGGCGTAAACCTGAGAAGGGTTGTAGGCGTACTGCTGTAAGTCCCACAATTCTTCAAGGGTAGTACGTCGAAGCGCAGTCCATCGTACTTGGTGTATTATTTTGTACATATGTTCATGTTGTATATACTGAATTGGTATCATCTCTCATCTATCTGTTGGTTAATTTTATTTGTGTCCGGACCTTTTTCCACTTGGATCGTCAACCTGAGAAGGAATGTAGGCGTACTGCTGTAAGTCCTACAGTTCTTCAAGGGTAGCTCGTCAAGGCAGTATCCACAACATTTGATGTATTGATTGTACATATGTTTGTGTTAAGTAATTGAGCGGGTTCCAATTCATTTAATTGTTGGTTAATTTTATGGTTGTCGCATTCTGTGAATCATCTTGTAATGTTATTGTTAGTACTTCTAAAGTCGTTTCTAGTCTTCTAAACTTGTGAACGAATCGAGTAGTGTTAGAGTCAGTGTATGCGATTTGATACGCCGGGGAGGGGATTGTGCCAGAGTGACATAAAGCAGCCAACACCCCGTGGACCAGATCAGTGGTGGTACTGTCGACAAAGAGCGAAGGAAAGTTCAGATCACTGAGGAAGATCCCACACGCCGGGGAGAGCGTGCCGGTGTGATTTAGTATGCTTGTTGTGTGTTGGGCTTTTTTGTCTTACTTTTCCATTTTAGCCTAGTCCCGGTTGGCCCAGGTTCCCGCGTTGGCAGTTCAGTTCGAGGTTATCGGCGCTATGGAAAAAAGGGATGGACCCTTTTTTGCCGGGAAGTGTCAAGGAATATGAACATTGATGTTGGTTCATTGACCTTGGTAGCCATTGGCGGGCAACTCGAAGGCGCGAATGGTTCGATCGTGTACAAGTTCGAAGAAGACGAAAGAATACGAATAAAAGTACATCATAATTTTGTATAAAATATTTGTTTACAGACTTGTAATTGTCTTTACTTTAATTGTCAAACAATATAACTTTCAAAAAAGTACTGGTGTTTTGGAGTTGAAGTCGAGACAAGTACATAGTAATTATCGGTTCAGAGCGTCTTCGTTACAATAGGAACTTAGGGCTAAGTTCCTTGACAACATATTTTTCAGGTAATATATACAGCCGGAATCATAAAACAGTCCAGAGGTATTCGTCTGTCGTCCACGCCAGAATTTCACTACTTGTATAAGAGGCCAGATTAAATTGAAGGATCTGGTGGTTAGCCAAAACAAACTTAAGTAAATTATTTCTTGGC